CAACGAGGGTTCGATTTCTTTTTTTTTTTTTTTTAAATTTATGTTTAAAAGCTTGAATTTTGGAAAAATATGTCATGACATTTCTGAGTTTATTTGGGAAAGTTGAAAGAAAGAATTTAGAGCGGTAATTGGTTTGGGGAGATTCTAGGTTTGTATTATTTTTTGATTCAATGTTAGAAGGTGTTAGGGTTTGCAGAAGGCGAAAGAGAAGGAAGAAGATGAAAGTAAGAAAAAAGGAAAAAAAAAAAAAAGGAAATAGTTTAAGGTTTTTTTTTGCCATGTCATTCTTTTTTTTGCCATATCATTCTTTTTTTTGCCATGCTGTCATCTATTTCCGTCAGGTAATGGGACACGTCAATTAATTTTTAACGGAAAGACTAAATTGGGGTCAAAATGGTAAATAATAGGGATCAAATCAGGAATTTTTTTAGTTCAGGACCAAATCAGGGGTCCATACAATAGTTGAGGGACCAAATTGAGATTTTAAACTTATTATTATATACTAAAACAGAAACTATTTAAGGTAAGTATTCCATGTATCACTTTTACAAGCCTTCCTTAATATTAGGGGTGTTCGCGGTGTGGTTTGGTTCAGATTTTAATATTTTTTAATCCAATCCAATTTTATAGGTTAGTAAAATTTTTAAACCAATTCAATCCACTATTATATAATAATCAAACCAATTCAAATTAAATTGGATCGATGTGATTCGATCGAATTGATCGATTTTTAACACTACTAAATATATGAGATAATGTAAATAAATTTAGGTTAAATGCTAGATTTGGTCCCTCAACTATAGTGGTTTGCACATTTTTGGTCCCTTAACAATTTTTTGCACTTTTTTGATCCCTTAACTATACGAAATGCACTCCGTTAGTCCTTCTGTCAATTTTCACCGTTAACTTGGCCACATGGCATTTTTTATATTTTTTTTTGGATGACATGGCAAAAACAACTTAAAAGGCACTGATTTGGACTTTTTTTGGTGACATGTCATCTTCCTTTTCATCTTCCCTCTCTGCAAAATTAACCTCCACTCCAGAGAATCAATCTTAACCCATTTCTTCTTCCTCTCTAAATACTCTCTCATCTCCACTCCTCTTCCTTGAGAAATTGAACCCAGTTTCTGGGTTTCATTCAAGCCTCAAACTTAGTAAATCTTATCAAAT